CAATATATGTGCATTGGCGGATCCAGAGGGGGATTCAGGGGGTTGGAACCGGTCCCCTTTATTTTTCCAGAGAGAGAGAGAGGGGGGATTCTGTAATATAGATATTTTACGGCTAACATTTTTGAATAAAATAAGTAGTTCAATATCTGCTCTTTCTGCACTCTATATAGAGTTTTGCGTATTTGTTTTCTTCTGTGTACCTTCACAATCCCGGCCCCGGGCCCCGACCACCCACAAGTAACATGCAAGGTTTCACTTTGATTATCATCAGTAAGATTCCGGCGAACTTTTAGCTATGCAATTTTTGGACTATCTCCTGAAGTATCTAACTTTAAGAAGGACATGTAAACATAAAACGCTATGAAAGGGAGTGTGCATAAGAGAATATATCTCTCTCCTTATATTATGGAGATATTTTAATCAATGAAGAGAAAGATTTTAAAATGTTCCCGTATAATGCCGGGTGAAGGGGCTCACTTTTACGGAAAATAATCATGCTGTAGTTTTAATATGTAAGTTTTGATTCGGATCCCCCTCCATTCCTTGTTGCCGGAAGGTAAAAATGCGCAAATTCAAGTATTTGAAAGATAAAAATGTTCTGAATAGTTAGAGGACACACACACACACACACACCCCTCCCCCGAAATAGGATTTTAGAGCATGGTGCACAGTTTTTTTTTTTTTTTTTTTTTGCTTGTCAAAGCTTTTTGAAGGTTGTCCCGTTTCTACAGGATTGAAGTGTCTGTGGTGTGATTCTATGCATGAGTGTTTGTGGCACAGACCTGGACCCCCCCCCCCCTTTTTCAAAATTTGCTGGATCCGCCCCTGATGTGATAAGTTAATTTTAGGCCCGTAATGCGAAAGGAAGGGGGCATTTCTCCTACAAAAGACTTTCAATCTTTCATAATTGAACCACTTAAGAATTTTTTTTTAAAAAAGTATAAGAGTCAATGATATATCAGTGAATACCAACGCCAAAAAAATCTAACCCCCCTTTTTATAAAGGAAAATAAACCAGTTCGAACACGAAAAACCTTATCGGGGGATTTTGGTTGGACACTTCTTATTGACAAGCAGTTTTCTTTCATATATATATATATATATATATATATATATATATATATATATATATATATATATATATATACGACTCTTCTTACCAACTCCAGTGAACTTCTGTATCCTTTGGGGTGGTGGTGGGAAAAAAGAGGGTCTATTTCTTCCTTTACATTTAATATCTGAATAATACTGAGATAAGATGTTTCCTACCTCACGATGAGAAGGTTGTGGACTTTGCTTTGACATAGATTATAAGAGCATTACATGTATTTATATCAACATTAATTTGAAGTATAGGAATTATCTAAAACTAGGATTCATGACTATAAAATCTACTGGAAACGGGGAGAAAGGATGTGTTTGTTAACAGTGCTATGTGCTAAAAGGTCAATGTCCAATAGAATATGTATAAAAAAAAACATTGGAAATATTTTTTTTTTCTTGAACGCATGTCAATCTCTTTTGCCACACTGAAATAAAATTTTGTATGTGCCCCCCCCCCCATTTCTGCCACTTCTTTCAACTGAAATATTCTCTATTTCAAAAATAAAAGAGAGCATTTTACCCTTTCCTCTTACACTGTCTGTCGTAAGGCCTTACATGTACTAGTATTAGCAAGTCTTTGTTCGTGTAAAATCAATATATCTTACGCTGAGTATTTGCAAAATATTAATGCCTGTATATATGTATCTCACTTCCTATCTTGACGTATAAGAGCATTACATACGCGGTACTGCTCTATTTATTCACATGAAAATCATAATGTGAAAATGAAATTGAAAGTAGTGAATGTTAAGCAATACATCAATAAAGCATACTAAATTTATTACATTTATAGGTAAATAGATACTGATAAGTTTTGAGAAGAAAAACAGAAACATCATTTATTTATCCCCACTTTACAACACGCCACGAATCACTGTCCTGCATACACTTATTATTTTACGGGAATAAAATATGGCCTAGCGATTGGCTGGTTCGTGAAGATAAATATCCGCGAGCTTGGGGTACGTGCGAATCTCGCGGATATATCTCGCATGCGTATTCATCAAAGTTGTTTAACAGTATACACATGTAGATGTAAGAATTTATCTTCATGTTACATGTATTCTCTTTGTTTATATACATTCAAAATTATAATGAAATATAACACAAATTTCTACCTTTATTTATTTCTTGCAGTAAATCAAATATATACATGTACATGTATTTCGAACAATAAATCAGGTAATATCTATTTTTATATTTCAGTTGATAAATACATGTACTTTGTTTATTCTTTGATGGAATGTGGTGAATTCTCGTGAATTCATCTAAGTCAATAGCATAGATCTTCAATTTTTAGCAGATTTAACATTTTTGTTTTAGGTGATTTTCTAGATCTTTTCAATATAATTCAATTATTTCCACAAAATTCTGTATTTAAGAACAACAAGTTTTGAATGAGTTCCTTATTTTACGAAACTCCTTTCGGTTTCTCTTTTACATGAACGAAAACGATGAGATGTTCAATTTATTGTTACAAATGTTTAGGAAATATATCCTTTTAACTTCGGAGTTCCGCCGACTATTTTTTCTATGATAATTTATTTAGATATAGATTTTTAAAAGCTCAAATGTTTACTATTTCATTGATCTAAAAATACCGCAGTTGAATTCATTTTCCTGTGAAAAGATTTTTTTCAATTCTATCCAGTCAGAATTGACTGGTGTATCAAATGAACACTTTCATCTGCTTTTTTAAATTATGATTGTAAATTAAATGATGTCGATTAAATAAATATTTATCTCGAATAATTCAATTTCAAGTCTTAAATCCGTATATTGCTATATCGTAATTGCAAACTTTAAGACATTTCTATCGCTCTTTGACGTGACGTTACATCACAAAAAATGACGTTCCTATTGCATTTTTCTATCAAAACACTGCCATATTGCAATATCTATTTTTCAAAAAGTATAATAGATATTGAAAAAAGGAAAACGGTTATGAAAAGCGAAAATTCTACATTATCTATAATAAACATAACATTAATTTTTGAGAAGAGACCGTTTTTGATGCTTCGTGGACTTAGCTCTGTGCATTTGGCTTCGTTGATCTGGATCCCAACTCGGTTAGGTGCCGCTTTGTATGCATTCCAATCCGCATCGGATTTGGATTTGAGTGCTTTCCGATGTAGAAAGTCACGTAGTCTCATTTCTGATAATATATTGTCATTAATCCACTTTTCTGAATCCGCTCTGATGCGCCTTTCTCTCATTGGGAAGTGTTTATCAATGGTTTGGAAAAAAGTGTCTTTAAATAAAGCCCACATATCATTCACATTTTCTAGGTTTCTAATGGAATTCCAGTTCGTCGAAGCGAGGTCGGACATGAATGCATAATCGTCAGCATGTTTAATATCTCTGTATTTGATGTATACATGTTTAATTTTAATTTTCGTTGATTGTTTTATTTCTAATTGTATATACTAAATGATTGTCACTAATACCGATAGGAATTTAAGGAGAGGAATTTGTCGCTAACATAATTGTGATCGATGAGGGTTTTCGAATGTGGTGTAACTCGCGTTGGTTTGTTGATGACTTGGTGTAAGCCGTTTATTTCCATCTGAGCTCTGAACTTGGCGTTTTTAAGTTCATCGATGTTAAAATCACCAAGAATAACTACCTCACTACTGTCCGCCATTATTTCGTCAATAGCATTTTCAAAAGCAGAAACCCATTCAGCTTTTGCGTCCGGTGGTCTATATACGACAGCGATTGTGATTTTCGGTGAGTTGAATTGTTTTAGATCTAAAGAAAGTATTTCCATGTTGTCGCGTATTTGTACGTTGGATATGGTTCCATTTTTCTTTGGCATAAACAAGGACTCCCCCAGTATATTTGAATCCTTGTCCTACAAGTGAAAGTAATTTCGATGTAGCTAAAGGTTATCTTTCTTTTTTGTTATGGCATGTCAAACGTTGCAATATTCGATCTTTTCCAATTGTATTGTATAATTTTCCATTTATATTCTATAATTCTCCATTTATATTCTATAATTTTCCATTTGTATTGTATAATGTTTATTTGTATTCTATAATTTTCCATTTGTATTCTATAATTTTTCATTTGTATTGTAAAATTTTTATTTGTATTCTATAATATTTCATTTGTATTGTATATTTTTTTTCATTTGTATTGTATAATTTTTATTTGCATTGTATAACTTTCCATTTGTATTCAATAATTTTTCATTTATGTTGTATAATTTTTCATTTGTATTGTATAATTTTTATTTGTATTGTATAATTTTCCATTTGTATTGTATAATTTTCCATTTGTATTGTATAATTTTCCATTTGTATTGTATAAATTTCCATTTGTATTCTATTATTTTACAATACAAATGAGAAATTATACAATACAAATGGAAAATTATACAATACAAATGGAAAATTATACAATACAAATAAAAATTATACAATACAAATGAAAAATTAAAGAATACAAATTGAAAATTATACAATACAAATAAAAATTATACAATACAAATAAAAAATTATACAATACAAATAAAAAATTATACAATACAAATGAAGAATTATTGAATACAAATGAAAAATATAGAATACAAATAAAAATTTTACAATGCAAATGAAAAATTATAGAATACAAATGAAAAATTATAGAATACAAATGAAAAATTATACAATACAAATGGAAACTTTTACAAAACAAATGGAAAATTATACAATACAAATAGAAAATTATACAATACAAATGGAAAAGATCGAATATTGCAACATTTGACATGCCATATTTTGTCCTTGATACCTAATTTTTATTATTACAAAATGTCTAAACTACTTTTTGAGCATTGCTCGTAATTGGTTTATCATCTGCTCTTAAACAGTAAAAAAAAGTGATGGCGTTGCAACACATGAGCCCTATATAAGAGACTGGTTTATACCAAACAGACGTCTGGCTGAAGTCGACAGAATAAAAGATAGACATGATGCCTCTCTACTTTTTATTATGTTTCTTTGTCTTCAGAGTATCTGGGTCTATGTGTGAGGACAGAATTTCCTGTTCCAATTCCCTGTACCAGTATGAAAATTGTCTGAAAACACACGATACAGCAGTGGTAGACAGAGTTACTACTTTGGAAACGGAGGTGACAAAACTAGAAGAAGGTATATTTTCTTGAATATCAAGCAAAATTTAATTCAGATTTATTAATTCGCAAAGATCACCGTTCATCATTAACAGCAATCTTATTTGAGTAGTAATCTTTTGTCATTAAATTTTTGTTTTTATGTAGTTACTTTAGATGGATTCGCAATTAGAAAAAAAGAAATTAAATCAAAATAGAAATGTCTCAGATTTAATACTTTGTTGCATATATGGTATCTGACAAATACGGTAGGGGATCGATATCAGTTCTGTATGTTGGGAGAGGATCATCAATTTACGATTAGAAATCTCCCTAACTTCTGTTGGGAGTTTAAGATTTATTGTCCTCTTGACACTTTTTCATAAGCTAATGTCGGAAGATTCTGAAGGTCAGGTAATTTTCATTTAATAATTTTCACTGAGCTGTAACATAATCAAAACTTTGTTTTTATTGATTATCTTTTCATGATTTTCTAAGAAAATTTGGTAACTGATTATGCTTTTCAACAGCTACCACCCCCCTGGTGTCGTTCTTTGCCGGTCTTAAAACCGATGTCAAAGTGGCCACGGGACATCTGACGTTCGACAGAGACTTGCTTAACGAGGGCCATGCTTACAACTGCTCAACAGGTGTGTTTACCGCCCCCGTGCATGGCGTCTACTCCTTTACTCTCACAATAGGAATGCCCACCCCAAACACAGCCACTGATTACCTTCGACTGCATATAATGAAGAACAAAGAAATTGTGGGATACTTGTTCATCGAGTGGGAGGACATGTGGCTGAAGAGGTCAGAGGCCACCCTAGTCGAGCTTCATGAAGGAGACCAAGTTCATATCATGATCGACACTGCTCCTGCTGGATTCACAACAATAGCAGGAACCTCCTATCATTCTCACTTTGCAGGATTCTTAATTGGTAAGAGTTGTGGATAAAAGACTCTAGATTACTGACTCAGACACGAAACCTGGATTATGACAATCGTAACGCTATCAGTATGCAATCTGTCAAAACGATTCAATAACTCATATTATCATTTTATTATGAAACAATCATGATATTAATTCGTTGTTTATTCTTCCTTTCAAAATTGACACTAAATTGCACTCGAAAATAAAACAACTTGCAGTCCTCGTTTTAAAAGAGTTATTGTTTATCCTTTAGGATATTTAGATGTATTGTTGTCATTTTATTTGTAAAAATGTGTTTTAAATACTTTGAAATCTCGATACCTGTGGCAAATTTCGAGATGCTTTGTACAGCTTAAGAATCAACAGCCGTTAGATAGATATAGAGAGTAGAGAGTTGCAGAAAATGATTAAGCGATAGAAAAACCATTAAAGGCTTTCATAAGTAATAAATGTAAATATATTGAAAAATTAATACTCTTTATATATATATAATTGACTCTGCTATAAGTACATCAGTATCTGGAAATTTTCTAAACTTGCTTTTTTTGAATGAAAAATATACCTTACTTATTATCTTTGAAAGCACTTAAATTGAACTGAAGTGTTTTATTCAGTTTTTGAAGTGTTGACTCCTCGTGTTGGGATTGATTTTGCTATCTGACTCGGTGACATAATCAATGTAACCATCCGGCGATGTTGCATGACCAATAATTCTCACAACTTATCTGATTGGTAGATTATTTAAAAATATCCCAAGTCAGGTCAAATTATACAATTAACAAATAATATATTGGGAAAGCGCATTTCTTAATATATTGTGCTTTCTAAATCGCTTAGCAAATATGCATATATCTGAATTAAATGATGGTAAGTTGGATGATCGATATTGCAGAAATGAACACTATTCTGAATGTCATTCTGATTTCTGTTGTAAAGGTTCTTATTTTTCATTACAGTAAATAAAAATCGTTTATTATACCTCTATTAAGAATACTCAAATTTGATTGGCTTGTTAGAAGGCTTTTAAACTCTAAAAAGTACCGTTTACAGCAATAATGACCTAGGAATCATTGCACGTGGGTTATAATGACCCGGTCATTTTAAGAAATGAATTTAATTCTTGAAGATTCATGAGGACATGAACTACGACGCTTCACGCTGGCATATTTCATGAAGCTACACGGCCTTGGTCAGGTTACCTCGTGGGCCAGCTCTCGGGTCCTTATTTCACCATGTTGACCTCATAAGGGGTAATTAATTGTATAACAATGTAATCATTTTATTGTTGTGAAAGCACTGTGCTTGTTTGATTCACCTACGCAGGGTCCCACGCGTAGAGTATACTTACCTACTGCATAATTCATGAAGATTCCATAAAAAACCTTAGTCAGGTTTCCAACACTTCCCTCCTCTCTTGGATTCTCATTGTGACTCAGACTTAATTTTCAGGCTTTTTTAATGGAAAAAAATCTTAAACCCATACACAGAGCAATATTGTTTTTTCTTTTTCAATCGTTTGCATAGTTTAGAATTATCAAAACTGAGCATTCAATTAAGTTCCTCTTGATTTTGACCTGATATATAAGCATAAAAATATGCAAGACAAAATAATATCTATTTTGATAATTTATGCTTTATCTAGAACAGGGTCATCTTACCTAATCATCTACCTGCAAGAACATGATTTATTGTTTATAATATGACGAACTCAAATGTCAGAATGATGAAGCACCTGGTGATATGTTCGATTTCCGTAAAAGCAGAACTAATATTGAAAGTATTAAGTTCAGTTACACAAGGGATTTAAGTTCAAAGAAGAATTTTTTACTGTAAACAATATCAAGTTTCAATGAGGCATTTTCCTCTCTTGCCTCAGTGGTTGTTACGGCCCTGAAAGATGTAAATACGGTACCAATTTTGTTGAACTAGATGCGCATTTCGACAAATTATGTCTCTTCAGTAATGCTCAAGCCGAAACGTTGGAAATAAAAAAAAAAAGATGTTAAAGATTAAAGTTACATGACACAACTGTTTTCTTTTCTGGTCTCCTTAACAAATTATTATTACACAACAGATTATAACTGTAAACGCAATATTTGTGACTTGTTCAGGGTCGACAGTTCATTTTTTAAATAGCAAGGACAAATGGGGAAGAAAAAAAACAACGTTACAAAAGATGTGCCCTATATCGGGCTGTAATACATACTGAACAGATAACTGATTTTATTATATACTCATCAATTTCCTTGTTTTTGTTACTGTTAATTTTACAGAGTTTGATCCGATTTTCCAGATCACCACACTGTGGTTTTCTGAATCCATATCACTGCTCTCGGAAACTATAACATAGAAAACAGAAGGCATATTTTCCTGCGCGAACTACTTTTTTCCTTGACCCACTAAACGGAAATGAATGAACTGAATGTAAACAAACCCCTGTCAATACACTACATATGACTTGATCATTTTCTCTACATAATTTTGATTCGTTAAAAAATATTTTTATATTTTAAATGATTATTTTTTACCTATATCAATTAAGGAAAATTATGAAAATAAAAAAATAAAATAAAAACATCAAAATCGTCGTCTGCATGCTCAATTTCTATAGTAAGCTGCCCAGTGTCCAGCAGGCATCAAAATGGCAAATTTAGATGATTTAAGTACTATCAACACCAATGACTTGTGTCTTGGCAATTTTGATCTACTGGATAGCACCTCAGAATCAGAATTACAGGAAATTTACCAATTATTTGATACTGAACCATCAGATTTTAAGGACATACCAATGCCCCTTGCAGATGAAGTAAGTGGAAGTCTCTTGGAAAATCAATCAAAAAACAAAAATATGCCAACGTTTATTGAAATAAAAGAACAGACAAAAATGAATTTGTACAAATGAAAAATAAAATCACAGTAAGAAAGACGGAATCAGCTGTTAAACAGTTCAGATCATGGCTTCAGCAAGATCCAAGGAAGGAAACCCGTGACATCAATAGGATTGATCCTAGCGAGCTGGATAACTACTTAGGCTCTTTTCCTCTCCCCATCCGAAAGGCAGATGGTTCAGACTATGAGCCCGATACCTTGACAGTTATCACAGATCCATTGACAGGTATCTGCAGGAAAAACGTACCCATTTAGTTTAGTATCGGATAAGGAATTTATGACAAGTAGAACTGTTTTTGTATCTAAACGAAAGATATAAAAACAAGGGCAAGGGAGGTAAACCAAATGCAGCAGAACCACTAACAAAAGGTGAAGAAAAGTTGCTACAAAATAAGGGCTGCATTGGTCTAAACAGCCCAAAGGCATTACTTAACAAAATGTGGTTACAGAACACCATGATGTTTGGATTCAGAGGGAGTACTGAAAATTATAAACTTAGATGGAAGGATATCCAGCTCTTACAGGGCAAAAATGGAAGGGAATACCTGGAATTTAGAGAACGGGAAACAAAAACAAGAATTGGTGAAAATACTCATCTTAGAGCTTTCCGTCCGAAACAGTATTCAAATCCAGAATATCCTACGAGCTGCCCGGTAACTGCCATATAAGGCTGCAATATAAGGCTTTTAGAGACCACAGGCCGCCCTCTACCATGACTCCTGAAAGTCCGTTTATAGAGCTTTCTTTATTCTGACTAATGCCATAATTAAGTTAACAAGCAATGAGTATAAAGGGGCGAATGATTTTTTTTTTAAAAAATGCAATTGAAAACCAGAAAAATGTCCTGTAATCATAGGTACAGATTTTTTTAGACATCAATCAATACATAAAAAGAGAAACAAAAAATATTTCATATTTGCTCGACATTTACCATTGTTCTAATTGACTGTCAAAACAGTAACATTTCTACAATAGAGAAATTTACTCTCTTGCACTTAGTTCTGATTTTTATTTAACCGTAATTGACGCTGTATAATTTTGGACACATCTAGTTTAGATGTTATAAGACAGACACACAAAACCTGACCCGTTTTTATCGAGACAAATAAGATATACAGTCTCGTGTCAAAAGTATTCGTAAAAACAAAATGGCGGCGGTGTAAACAAAACTAGGTCATCAATATTTTTTCATCAGTCTACATCATTTTGTAAGTTTAATCATACCTCAACATTTTGTTAAACACCCCTTAGCCTTCATTACTGCTTGGATTCTGCGTGGAATGCTCCTGTAAAGGTCCTGGATGAAGTTAGGATAGATATTTTCTCATACCTATGGTATGGCCGTTTCCGGGTCATTTGCGGTTCTCAAATTCTGTACCCTTTTACACAGTTCCTGTTCGCCAACAGTTTTCAATTATATTCAAGTCCGGGCTTTGAGCAGGCCATTCCATTGTCAGAATATTCTCTTGTCCCATAAATTCCTTCACAGTCCTGGCTCTATGAACGGGAGCATTGTCATCCTGAAATAGGTAATAATTTGATGGAAAATGTGCTGCAACGACGGGCCAAAGATGATTGTCAATTATCTCTATATATTTCTGAACATTAATGTTACGTCCATTTTTGGTAATTAGACTTACAGTGTATCATTGTGATGTGACGTCATCATTTTTGGGGCACAGTATTTTTTTGTGTAGAGCCCGTGATATTATGGCAGGACGCGGCAGGCCGAAGGGCTAGGTGCCTGCAGTATTTATTACTAGTTTTCTAGTTTTCCAGTCATCGTTGTACTGATACAACTGATATTTATGTCACTGGAGGAAACTTCTACATTGTGTAAATTGGTGAGTGTTACATTGTTAATCGTTTAGCTGTATATACTGTGCATTTGTATATCTCAATAAATGTTGCATATTTATTAATATCAGTATTAAGTTATTGTTTAAAGTATCTGTGCACTTACACTCAAGTTTATTATTTATAATGCATTAGTATGTTAGGAAGTTAGGTACGTTATTAACATACATGTGATATCGCTGGATATGTGCACATTTATTATGTACGGGAGATAACTCCATTTGCACCATGTTTTTCAATCAGGATCTGGTTTAATCAAGAGTTATGCCTCTTGGGTTTCATTTTGTCAACAATCTTACGTATTGAATCTGCAGAGGCTGTTATTTTCTAGTATATGTAATACATCAAGATTAATTTACTAGGATGTGTTATCGTGTGTGATTTACTTGAATTATCTTGTATTTATAGTATTTTTTCTTTGTAGTTTTTGTAGTAAATCGTCACTTGTCTCGTCAATTGTCATTCAACGTCATATTTCTACGTCAA